TTTTGTAAATTTTTTAGCCCTTTGTTTTATTTACAACCACCTCTTCGTTTTATGTCCTTACATTTATTTTACGGTTTACTTATAGTTTCACTTTTTCTCACCAATGTTCATTTACCTGGAATTTATAATTATATAAAGAGTCACAAAATAAATTTTAGTCGTAAAATGAATCTTACGAACATTGTTCCTTTACTTAGAATTCATGAATAATCACAAAATAAATTTAGGTCGTGAAATGAATCTTACGACCATTGATCCTTTACTTAGAATTTGTAAATAGAGAGTCACAAACTTAATTTAGGTCGTAAAATGAATCTTACGACCAATATTTCTTTACTTAGAATTTATAATGTGAGAGAATCATAAAATAAATTTGGGTCGAAACATTTACTTTACGACTAAAATTTATTTTATGACTATAAAATTTGGGTCGTAAAATTAATTTTATGTCCCTCTATTTATTTTACGACCAATTTTCGTTTGACGCCTCTGAATATTATTATTGACCATTTTTGTTTATTTTTCAACCAATTTTTAAATTTATTTTATGACTTAAATTTATTTTATGGCCCTCTATTTATTTTACGACCAATTTTCGTTTGACGCCTCTGAATATTATTATTATTATTTACCATTTTTGTTTATTTTTCGACCGATTTTTAAATTTATTTTATGACTTAAATTTATTTTATGGCCCTCTATTTATTTTACGACCTATTTTCGTTTGACGCCTCTTAAATATTATTGTTTGCCTATTTTGATGATTATTTTTCGATGAATATTTACTTTATGACCTCTGTAGTTATTTTACGACCCGCACTTTCCCTTCGGGTTCTTCAATTAATTTTACGATTGATTCTTATTTTAATTATTTTATGACCTTTGTTTACAAATTTTTTTCTTTAAATTTGCTATTTTCTTTTATTTTATGACCACATAAGGCCCTGAAATGTGTATTTTTGAATAAAATTTACAAGTTTCAGATTAGCAGAGAAATTATCACCTTGGTAACTGCAGTATATTAACATTTTGCGTATATATAATTATAAATTATAATACCTTGAAATTATTTTAGTTTATTGAATATATATATATAAAGAAGTTGTGCGTGCTTTTGGCGTATTTGGAATCATCATGATCATCATCATCATCATCACGCAGTTGTAACCAGCTGCGCTATTGTATACTTGACTTAAAGCATGTTACCTCGACCTCGATACGAGCATCTTCTAGAAAGAGTGAGAAAGAGAGAGGGAGGGATTCACTCCCACAAAAAAATTTTTTTTTTTTAAACATTGTGAAAATATGTTGAAATTCTTTTTTTTTTTCTTTTTTTTTATTAACTCATTCGATTAGTTATAGGGAAAATTAAAAAAATCTTTGCGTCAATGTCATGTCGCGTAGTTCTTTTCTTGGAAAAACTTAGGATTGAAATTTGACCTTTTTTTGTCCTTGAAACCTCGACGATTTTTTTTCTCTCTCTCTCTCTCTCTCTTTTGTTCATTCAGTCTCTCTTTCTCTCTTGTTCCTAAGTCTCAAGTGCGTTATCTCCAACGCAACGCGCCACAAAGTGAACCAACGCAGTGGCATTCAATGTTTTAACATGAGACACCAACTGTATAAAGTGAGACCTTGTACTTTGATCGTTGATTGTGAAAGCACAAGAAAAAAAAGTCGTATGATTACTTTAAAAGCCATCGTGACATTTTTATCATTTCCCGTTGGGAGGGAAATCGAAAGAAAAACTTCTTTTTCAATTTTGTGAAAAAAAAATTTTTTTTTGCAGTCAAAAAATTGTTTTTAGCTAAAAACAAAATTATTTTCACTTTAAAAAAATTCTGTTTGCAGTCAAACAGAATTTTTTTAGGTTTAAAAAAACTGTTTGCAGTCAAAAAAATTGTTTTCAATTAAAAAAATTGTTTTCAATTAAAAAAATTGTTCTCAATTAAAAAAAAATAGTTTTCAGTTAAAAATAATAGTTAATAGTTTTCTGTTAGTTTATAGTTAATAGTTTTCTGTTTGTAGTAAAAAAAAATTGTTTTTGGTTCAAAAAAAAATTATTTTCAGTTAAAGAAAAACTGTTTACAGTAAAAAAAACTTGTTTTTGGTTTAAAAACGTTGTTTTCAGTTTAAAAAACTGTTTGCAGTAAAAAAAGGTTTTAATTTAAAAAATTTGTTTTCAAATAAAAATTTTTTAATTTAAAAAATTTGTTTTCAAATAAAAATTTTTTAATTTAAAAAATTTGTTTTCAATTAAAAATATTGTTTTCAATTAAAAAAACTGTTTGTAGTAAAAAAAAATGGCTTTCGGTTTAAAAGAATTGTTAGTAGTAAAAAAAAAATTGTTTTCAATTAAAAAAAAAATTGGTTTCAATGAAAAAAATTCTATTCAATTAAAAATAATTGTTGTAAGTTAACAAAAACTGTTTGTAGTCAAAAAGAATTGTTTTTCGGTTTAAAAAAAAATTGTATCCAGTTGAAAAAAATTTAATTTTATTTAAAAAGGTTTCTTAAGTTAACAAAAATTTTTTTAAAGTTTAAATAATTTTCTTCGGTTAAAAGAAAAAAGTGATTTTCAGTGTAGAATTCATTTTAAGTTACAAGAATTGTTTGCAGTTTAAAAAAACTGTTTTCTATATTAAAAAAATGATCTCTTATTATTTAAAAATAATTTTTGTTTATTTTTGCTTCTTTAATTTTCAGAAAATAAATTTTCCCTTCACGAATTAATAAGGGGTCGTCCATATACCACGTGGACACTTTTTTTTGGAGGGGGGGGTTAAAAAAAGTTTGAAAATGTCCACGATCCCATGTATTTTTGTGTTCACAAGGGGGGAGGGGGGGGGGTAAAAATCTTTGAAAAACTGTCCACGTGGTATATGGACGACCCCTAAGGCCAAATGAAATTTTTTATCACCTTTCAAAAAATTATTTTATGCAGCGATTCCAGTTCTCCAACAATTTTTGCACTTTTTGAATTTCGCGCCTTTTCTTTAAAAATTTACCACCATATATTTTAAGAATCGAATTTGAACACGAAATTTAAAAATTAAGCAATTTTTTAGTATTTAATAAATTTTTTTTTAGCTAATCAATCAGATTGTTTAAAAATTTTCATTTTTTTATATTTTAAATTTCCCGCCTTTTTTGTTAAAAAAAATTTTTTTTAGTAGGTATTTTTTCTGCTTTTATTACAAAAGGAGTCTTGATTATTTAAATTTTCCACCATTTTGAAAAAATTAATTTTCTATGTTATCTTTATCGCTTATAATTAAAAAATAATGCAAAAAAAATTATGATTAGCGCGGGAACTTCAAAACAGATTGTTTATAATTAAGCGCATCTTTGATATTTCGCTTTTTTTGTTTTAAACTTTTCCCAAATTTTCAAACATAAATTTATATTTTTTGCATTACTTTATAAAGTTTTGTCAATTGAAACATCCCTAATAATTAAAGTAATAAATTTTTTTTTTCTTATTCATTTCAAATTTCCCTCTTTTTTTAAATCAATTTTTTTATAGTATTTTTCCAACTCTCAAAAGAAAAAGGCAGGGGATGAACAAAAATTCTGGTTCTTTTTTCTTAAAGTTTCAGCATTTTTGGAAAAATAAGTTTTTCATAGTGTTTTCTTTGCTCTTGTGAGAAGCATTGGGAATTTTAACAAAAAGTGAGAGAAATTCAACAAAATTTGTTTTAAACTAATTTTATCAAAAAAGGCGGGAAATTTAAAGAAATAAACATTTTTTAAGTAATTTCCGCCTTTTTTAGAAAAAAATTTGATTATAATTTTGTACATTATAAATTTGGCGTTTATTTTCTAATTTCCCGACTTTTTGAAAAAAATTAATTTTTCTTTTGTAGTTTTCACATTTTTAAAACAAAAAGTGAGAATTCGTAAAAATGCATTCCTTTCTTTTTAAATTTCCCGCCTTTTCTAAAACTTTTTTTTTATACTTTACCCTCTCGTAGGATAAAGGAACAATTATTTATAATATTATTTTTATAAATTGTTTTATTATTCTTTACAGTAAAACAAATTATTTTTATAGTATTTTTACCGTTCTTTTAAAAAAACGGAAATTACAATTTCGTTAAATTTAACGCCTTTTATTGATGATGGAATTAATTTTTTATAACATTTTTCTCGCTGTTATAAAAAAAAACAAAAAGTTTGTTAATTTTTTTTAAATATCCCGACATTTTTTTTTGTAATTAATTTTTTATCGTTTTTTTCCCGCTTTTATTAAAAATTATTTTAAAAAAGTCGAAAATTACTAGAAATGCGTTAATTTATTTAAATTTCCCGCCATTTTTTTAATAAAATTAATTTTTTAAGGTATTTTTGTCGATTTTATTAAAAATTATTTTAAAAAGTCGGGAATTACTAGAAATGTGTTAATTTGTTTAAATTTCCCGCCATTTTTTTTCATAAAATCAATTTTTTAACGTATTTTTCCCGCTTTTATAAAAAAGGCATGAATTATACTAGAAATGCGTTAATTTATTGTTTAAATTTCCCGCCATTTTTTTCATAAAATTAATTTTTTAACGTATTTTTCCCGCTTTTATAAAAAAGACGGGAATTACTAGAAATGCGTTAATGTTTTTAAATTTCCCTCATTATTTTGATACAATTAATTTTTCGTAGTATTTTTCTATAAGAAACACAACTACTAAAATTCGTTCATATTTTTAATTTTCCCGCCCTCTGTTAAAACATTTTTTATTAACATTTTTCAATTTTTTTTTAAACAAAAACCGAAAGTTAGTAAAATGGAACGTTCTTTTTAAATTTCCCGCCTTTTTTTGAATAAAATTATTTTTTCCACATTATTTTTCTTACTATTGTGAAAAGCGCGGGAAATTCAAAAAAATTATAATATTCAAAAATTTATAACGTATTTCATTGCTTAATAGTACAAAAATTATGTGTTTATGAAACAAAAAAAATGTTAAGTCAGTAAATAAATAAGAAATTAATTTTTTTCAAAAACTCACCATTTGATGCTGCGTTTAATAATATGATTAACAATTTTCCGCCTCTTTCGTGACGATGACAATTCAATGGTATCGTTCCGCTTTATTTTTCTCTCATTAATAATTTCCAACACCTCCTCCTCCTGTTCGTCCTCATGATTCTCCCTCTCGCCATCGGAGAAATTTGCATTATCAACATTCGCTGTATTCTCGACCCAACGGGCAACATGATCGTCTGTTGGTAATGTAGATTCTGTACCAAGTTCGTCGTCATTTATCAATTCAGTGACTGCCGTTGGTTCTCCTACAATACCAACAATAAATTTCGGTTCATCCTCAATAGCCTTGAATTCTTCCTCCTCCTCCTCAATTTCTTTTCGTTTCGCCGTTGTCGTCATCATCATTATAGGTGATTCACATTTTACCCCATGACCTTTTAAATTCTCCTCACAATTCAAATTATTAACTTGTAAATTTTGCTTCATTTCTTTTTTATTTATTTCTGTTATTATTTCAGCAATTATTTCTGGTTCATCGTTAATTGGAGTGTTTTCCGTTAATTCTTCCTCCAATACTAATGAAGATTCATTTTCTTCCTCCTGTAAATTATTTACCATTTTTGACTCTATATTTATTTTTTTCGAAGTTTCCAATATTTCAGGAGGTGAAATTTCCGGTTTTGGAGAATTTTGGGGGGAAATTTGACACTCTGGATTTTGTGGAAGAGTTTTTTCCGGTGATTCTATGGGTAAATTGATTAAAAAGCTTGGTATTGGTTCATTTTTGGCGGGATCGCTTGTGATTGGTGCGCTTTCTTCAGAAACGTCTGTGATTGGTGCGCTGTTCTCATCTCCATTATTTTTAGTCTTCTCTTTCCAATTTTCATCAGATTTCTCCTCCTGGTGAATATTTTCCTTCTGAATAGTCAACTTTTCGTTATTTTCCTCCTCCTGAGGCACAAAATCCGTTTTCTTAACCTCCTGATCAATAGTTTCCTTCTCCTTCACTTCCTGTTCAGTTTCTCGATTATTTTCCATTTCCCCTGCCTGATTTTTTTCCACTTCAACCTCAAGTACCATTTTTTCGTCTTTCCTCTTTTCTACTTTTCTTTCCCCCTCCAGTTTATCTCCTTTTTCATTCTCAGAAACCGTCTCCGTATTTTTTTGACTCTCCTGAACCGTTTCTGTATTTTTTCGACTCTCCTGAACCGTTTCCATATTTTTTCGACTCTCCTGAACCGATTCCGTATTTTTTCGAATCTCCTGAACAGTTTCCGTAATTTTTCGACTCTCCTGTTCCGTTTCCGTATTTTTCGGACTCTCCTGTTCCGTTTCCGCAGTTTTCTGATTCTCCTGAACCAGTTCAACAATTGTGGAAGACTTTTGTGATTCCTTATTACTATCAGGACTCAGTGCTTGTGAATCATTACCATTTGCAGTTTTATGATGCGAACAATCGACCAGCGATTTTTTCACCCCCTTCTCCATTTCCGTTTCGAGTGCTGTACTCTCACTTTGATCCTTTGTCATTGTTGTGGATTTAGATAAAAATTTTTGTTGACTTAATAATTCTTCATTTCTCTTTTTGTTGAATCTGCTTCTTGGCACTAATTTTATTTTTTTTCACCTTACACCTTCGATCGGATTCTGAAACAAAAATAAAATATTCTTTTCAGTGTTATTGTCTTAATATAGTGAAAATTAAGTAGATAATTTATAAATATTAGCACAAAATTAGGACAATTTTGAGATATTTGTTTTTCAACATTTGTGAATGGACCTTTAAGCTAGGGAGTTTGCTTTCAGGTTACCATGGTAACGCTCAGGAGTAAGAGAGACAGTCGACCTTAGGGTGCTTTCACAACGGCTTTTTTACACTTTGATCTTTTTTTTTGACAAATTAGTATATTTGTTCCTAAATTCTCAACCTCACATCGTCTGTTACTCAACCGTTACTCTACAAAGGACTCTTTTCTATCGTTATCACAATAATTTTAAATTCCTTAAGAAACTCACATAACCTTAAGCTTTTTTTTACTTTCTGATTACTAAATTATATTTTTAGTTTGCAAAACTCTAAAAGGGGGTTCTTTAAACTACTTAATAAATTTTATATTTTAGCAAATCCCCGCCCCCCTTCTACCTACTCTACAACCAACAAACCAATGTTAATAATAGTAATGACAAAATTAAAAAAAAAAATTGGAAAATAAATAATGATAAATATTGCAATTTAGAAAGCACAGGATTCCAAGGTTAAATAGTACATGAACAAAGAAGAATACACACATGAATTTATATTGTGTATATATACATATATCTACGTATACATATATATATATAGTTATTCGTATAATCAAGTTGATTATTGATCACTGTAATAATTGAATACAGTCCTGGCCCACATAAATGTGTTTGACGTTAATCAACTTTAACAAGGTCTTATTGGTACTATCATATTTAATTAGCAATTACTTTAATTTTTTAAAAAAAATTTCGAAAACAGATTTTGGAAACATGATGATTTTAGATTCATAACCTCAAAAATAGAATTCTGTATGGCAATCATCATTATCATTATTGTCATTATTATCATTATCAGTATCATCATCATTATCATTATTACTATTATTATTAGAATCATCATTTTTACCGATATGTTGATCATTATTATCTCTATTATCATTATTATAATCATCTTAATCAACATCATCATTACCATTAACATTATTATCATTATCAGCATCATAATTATTATCAACAGCATCATCATTGTGACTGTCATGATCATTGTCATCATAATAATTATAATCATTCAGCATCATCACTGTCATCAATATCATTGTCACCACTATTATCATCGTCATTAGTGTCATAATGATCATTATTATAATAATTAATGTAATTATTATTTCAATCATTATCACTGTCATTATTATTTTCAGCATTGCACTGTCAAGATAATCATTATCATTATCGTCATTACTCATCATTATTATCATTATCATTATCTATCAAGACCATCATTATCATTGTCATCATTACTATTATTAACATTATTGTCATCATTATCATTGTAATCATTATTATTATCATCGTCACTGCCAAGATCACCATTATCGTAATCGTCATTACTATCAGCATTATTATCATTATCTATCAAGACAATCATTATCATTGTCATCATTACTATTATTAACATTATTGTCATTATTATCATTGTAATCATTATTATTATCATCGTCACTGCCCAGATAACCATTATTATTATCGTCATTACTATCATTATTATCATTATCTATCAAGACCAACATTATCATTGTCATCATATTACTATTATTAACATTATTGTCATCATTATCATTGTAATCATTATTATTATCATCGTCACTGTCAAGATCACCATTATCGTAATCGTCATTACTATCATCGCATTATTATCATTATCTATCAAGACCATCATTATCATTGTCATCATTACTATTATTAACATTATTGTCATTATTATCATTGTAATCATTATTATTATCATCGTCACTGCCGAGATAACCATTATTATTATCTCCATTACTATAATTATTATCATTATCTATCAAGACCATCATTATCATTGTCATCATTACTATTATTAATAGTATTGTCATCAATATCATTGTAATCATTGTCATTATTATTATTATCATTTACACTGCCAAAATAATCATTATCATTATCGTTATTACTATCATCATTATTTTCTATCATGACCATCATTATCATTATCATTGTCACTGCCAAGATAACCATGATCATTATCGTCATTACTATATATCATCATTATTATCATTTTCATTATCTATCAAGACCATCATTATCATTGTCATCATTATTATTATCATTATCACTGCAAAGATAACCATTATCATTATCGTCATTACTATCATCATTATTATCATCATCACTTTCATGATCATCATTGTCATCATTACTATCATCAACATCATCAGCATCACTCTGCCGTGTAAAGTAAAAAAAGTTTATAAGTAGCATTTGCTTTAAGGTAGTTTTTCCCGTAGCTGTGCAAGCTAAAATCACCCTTAAAGAAAATGAGACTTACAAACTTTTTTAATTTGTACAGCAGCATTGTCAGCATTATATTATCAGAATCATCATCACCATCATCATCATATTATCACTATTATCATTATCACTATCATCATCATTATCATCACCACCATCATCATTTTTATTATAATTAAAATTACTATCATAAAAAAATCATTATGAACTGCTTACCTCCTCGATCAATCTTAGAGCGCAAATACACATATGATAACCGCTGCCTGAGAGACTGGCTCTTACACCGTCCTTGACTATACACAAAAAGAAAATAGTCTCTATTTAGATAGAAAAAAAAATAATTTTTGTCGTTTTCACAATTTTTTCCCAACAATAGATCATCACTGCATTTGCACAAAATTGACATCTGTCACTGTCGCCATTTTTTTCCACCACGCGACGAGAGACTATAGGTTAAACGGGAGAAAATTAACAATTTTTTTTTGTTCCCCCGTGTAACTATATATTAAAAGACAAATTCTCATTATAGACGTCGCGCGCAAGATTTTCTGAGAAATTCACAGTTGCATGCACACATTTGTAAATTCTACAATGTATATATGCTGCGTATATGCAACCAACAGAGATGAGAAGGTCATTAGAAAATTCACTTTCGGAATTTAACGCACAATACACGCCGGTATTTTATTGTTATTCTTTTTAACACATGGGTTTTTGTGGATTTTTTCATATCCACCAATCAGAGGTGTGACCCAATGATTTTTCTTCACACTATTCAAAAAAAAAAGAAAGAGAGCAAAACAGCACACGCGTACCGGCTGACTTCCCTCCCCCCACCCTTCTCGCACTATATTGACACTAGTAAAGACACAAATTCTCGAGAATTTTCCTTTTTTTCACTAGATATTCAAGTATAAATAGTTGTAAAAGTTTAACTTGCGTTTTGTTTGTAAATTTTGTTTTCGTCGTTTTAGTAAAATTCTGCCCTCCTCCACCCCCTAAAAAGTCACACACACACAATCATTCACAACACGATGTTCCAGTTATGGCCGGCAACAAAATGGCCGACTTTTTGCACGACACACGTATAATTATTGTATTAATTCGCAATAATCGCGACATTTGTTGGGGAATTTGACATTCTTGGGGGATAAATCGATGAATTTACACGTTAATACTTTTATTGAAATGCGATGACGTTTCACGGGGGAAAAAATGACGAATTGAGAGAAAAAGAAAGAAAAAGAGTGAGATGAGAGTATTTATTGTTATTATTATTATTCTTTTTTTTTGACGGTGTTGTTGATGACATTCACTTGTGACATCCGATCGCTCTCAATTCTTTTGTACGACCTCGGGTCGTCGGACCGAGTTACCACGAGACATGACGAAGTGAATGGAATTATTTCTCGACACCCTTCGGGTACAGTGGATGAGAGTGACATCTTGGCGGATTTTTTGGAACTTCGATAATATTCTCATTGTGATAAGGCAGATTTCTCTCTTAACAACAAGTTTTTTTTAAGAACAAAAATTGAAAATAGACTGCTTGGTGGCCAAAAGGCTAAATTGTTATTTTGCTAAACCACGCACAGCAAAACTGTTTTACCGACTGAGTGTTTCGAACCTAACCTCTTACTGTGTAAAATTTTAATTTAGCGAAATGGCAATTTAGTCTTTTGGCCACCAAGCGTAAAAAAGTTTAATAAACGGTGAAAAGTAAAAGAAATAAATAAAAAATAACAATATAATAATAAATAATGAGAATAATAATAATTTTTTTTCCAAATTTCCATCGGTCGGTAAATACTCGTAGATTCGTGGTTGATCAGTAGTGACACTATGAGTCACTAGGTGGCAGTGGGAACACTTTCCAGTTCGTATCTAGTTATATGGGGTAAAATCGATAAATAGTCTTCTTATATTTGCAGAAAAATTAAATTTAAACTACAATCAAGTACTTTCTAGTCTGAAACAATAAATAAAGTTTTTGTAATCGTTTGCGTCCTATTGTGAAAAAACAAATAAAATTTTAGGGTATTTTCTTTGTGGTTTTTATTCCGGAGCAGAGTGTGAACACCCCTTTAATTAAAGAAAAGTATCTTTTCAAATGCTTCACTTGTAACAAATTCAGTTTTATTTTGTAAATTTCAACCCACAGTAACTAGTGAGTTATTAAAAAGCGTTGCCAGATTAAATTAACACCAAAAAGGATTAAAATAACCCATTTTGGTGTTATTTTTTACTACGACTGAAATTCTACTTCAAATCAAAAACAAGTCCAACCATTACTAAAAACTAACTAATTAACTTAGTTAATAACAATCTTACTAACTTCCTAACTACCTTGCTAACTAATTTACTGACTAACTTACTAACTAATTTACTAACTTACTAATTAACTAGCTAACTAACTTACAAACTTAATTACTAACTAACTTATTAATTACCTAACTTACTTACATAACTTAGTTACTAACTAACTAACTAACTAGTTAACATAGTTACGAGCTAACTTAGTTACTAACTAATTAGTTAACATAGTTACGAACTAACTTAGTTACTTACTACCATACTAAGGGCTAATTCCACCAACCTCAATTAAAAGTTAATCAATGATTAAAGCCAGTTTAGCGGCTCCTGATTGGTTGATTGAAGATTTAATCATTGATTAGCTTTTAATCGGTATTCGTGAAACTGACCCTAAGTTAGTTATTTAATAATTAAGTTATTTAGCAACTTTGGTAAGTTAGTTACATAGTTAATAAGTTAGTAAGTTAATTAAGTTATTAGTAATTAAGTTTGTAAACTAGTTAGTAAATTAGTAAGTTAGTTAAAAAGTTAGTTACCAAAGTTAGTAAGTTAATTAGTAATTAAATTTGTAAGTTATTTAGCTAGTTAGTAAGTAAGTTAGTAAATTAATTAGTAATTTAGTTAATAAGTTAGTCAGTAAGTAACTTAGTAAGTTAGTTAGTTAATTAGTAAGTTAATTAATTAGTAAGTTAGTTAATAAGTTAATTTGTAATTAAGATTGTAAGTTAGTTAGACTGTTAATTGGTAAGTTAGTTAGAAAAATAGTAAGCTACTTAGTTAATTAGTAAATAAGTTTGTAAGTTAGTTAAAAAGTTAGTTAATAAGTTAATGAGTAAGTTAGTTAGCAACTAAGTTAGTTAGTAATAAATTATCTAGTAATTAAGATTGTAAGCTAGTTAGACAGTTAATTAGTAAGTTTGTAAGCTACATAGTAAGTTAGAATGTTAGTAAGTTAGTGAGTTAGTTAGAAAGATAGTTTGTAAGTTAGTAACAAATTAATGTCAGTAAGTTTCTTAGTGAGGTAGTTCGTAAGTTAGTTAGTTATTTATTTGCTAAGTTAGTTAATAAGTTAATTGGTTAGTTAGTTAGTAAGTAAGTAAGTTAGTAAGCTACTTAGTAAGTTAATAAGTAATTAAATTTGTAAGTTAGTTAGTTAATTAGTTAGTAAGTTATTTAATAAGTTAATTAGTAAATTATTTAATAAGTTAATTAGTAATTAAGTTAGTTAATTAGTTCATTAGTAATAAAGTTAGTTAATCAGTTAATTAGTAAGTTAGTTAGTAACTAAGTAAGTTAGTAAGTTAGTTAATGAGCTAGTTAGTAAGTTAATTAGTAATTAAGTTAGTATGTTAGTTAATAAACTAATTAAGTTAGTTAGTAACTAAGTAAGTTAGTAAGTAAGTTTGTAAGTTAGTTAACTAGTTAGTAAGTTAGTAAGTTAGTTAGTCAATTTGTAAGTTAGTTAATAAGTTAATTAGTCATTAGGTTTGTATGTTAGTTAGCTAGTTAGTAAGTTAGTTAGTAACAAAGTTAGGTTGTAAGTTAGTTAATGAGTTAATTAGTAAGTTAGTTAGGAACAAAGTTAGTAAGTTTGTTAGTTAGTTAGTTAGTAAGTTAGAAAGTTAGTAAGTTAATTAGTAATTTAGTTTAAAAATTAGTTAGCTAGTTAGTAAGGTAGTTAGTAAATTAGTTAGTAAGGTAGTTAATAAGTTAGTCAGTATGTTACGTAGTAAGGTAGTTACTAAGTTAGCTAGTAAATTAGTAAGTTAGTTAGTTAGCTCGTTAGTTAGTATGTTTTTTAGTTACTAACTATCTATTGTCCTTGGTGAAGTTAAATTCGTCGAATTTTGACAAATCGTTGACTTGGTGTTTGATTTAAAGTAAAATTTCATTCATAGTAAAAAAATTACACCAAAATTGACTATTTTAATCTTTTTTGGTGTGAATTTAGTCCTGGATTTCTCTATATAACGAACCGATGAAAAAAAACTCAAACCTATTGGGGCACTTTTCAAAAAGTTGTCCAAACCGGAAGGAAAGCATATATATGTTATTGAGTGTATATTTACATTAAAAAACACTAATAATATGAGGAATTATTTAAATAAAAAAAAATTTTACATGGATATTTGGATGGAAGTTATGTGTAAATAAAAACAACTTATTCACATTGCAGTAATTATTTTCTATTTTATATTCGTAGAATACTTGTGTTTTCAATAGTCATTATTAATTTATTCAATAATAATAATAATGTTAATAATATAATAATAATAATAATAATGAAAATAATAATATTAATAATAATAATAATAATAATAGTACCTAATAATAATACCAAAGTATATACAATGTTATTAACAAACTAGTTCCAAAAACGACATCGCATAACTTTCTAAAATGTATAAATATTATCTACAGATTGAAACAGTCATAACTTCGATCAAAAAGTCAGTTTTTCTCTCGATTTAGTTTATAAATTTTTCTCATTCCTCTTCCTTTCGACATAACCTACAAAATTCTTTTGCGTCTTAATTGCACATATTTACGACGACGGATAATAATAATAATAATAATAATAGTATAAACAAATAATGACAATAATAATAATGGAGCAAAAATAACTTAAAACTTGACATATTAGTTTTATATTTATTGCACAGTTTTCGCAATATTGCATATTATTTATATAATATAATATTATAAAACAACAGGCGAAAATTTCTTATATATTATTAATTAAACAGGAAATGTAAATTTTATTATAAATAAAATATTGATGGATATTATAATTTATTTTCAGGTGGTAATAAAAACATCACATCTACAAAGTTTGGTGAAAAAAAAACAATTGTAGCAAATAATAGACGCGCATGCGTACTCATCGATAGTGCACTGATTGGTCAAAGAAGCCCGCCATTTTTCTTTATTCATCTTTAAGGTATTTCTACAACAAATTTTCTTTTTTACCGCAATTCTAAAAGTTTAAAAGTTATATTTCTTTAACATTTATGAATTCATTTAAATTGATTTCAATTCATTAAAATTCATTTAAATTACTAAATTTGGAATTAAAAATTTTTAATTTAAAATTAATTAAAATTAATTGATTTTGAATTTATATGAGAGTTCTATTTTTTTACTTTAAAAAAAAAAATGTTTTTTTGTACTGTGTTTACTAATAAGAATTAAAATCAGGTCGCAGTAGTAATAACAAAGGTCAAGAGGTCAAATTTTTTATTGAAACCATAAAAAATTTTGATTTAAAATTATTGCTACTATTGTCTTTTTTTCTTTCAGTGAATGAAAAATTTCCATTATTTTATACATTTACATAGAAATAGAAACGAATTGTTTTACAAAATTTTGTTTTAGTTGAAATTTATGGAAAAGTTTAATTTTTTTCTATTATATAATAAAAAAAATAATAATAATATAATTACAATTACAAATAATAGTAACAATATAATAATAATGATTTATAATAATAATAATAATAATAATAATAATAATAATAATAATAATAATAATAAAAAAGAAAACAATTAATAAACCTTGAAAATAGTATACAAAATACATATTTTGCTTTTTGCAGTCAAAAGAAGAAAAATATTATTCTTTCTTCGTTTTTTTTGCACATTCAACAAATAAAACATTATTTATTTCACATGTAGTATTATATCTCATGTGTGAGATTTACAACATTTTCATCACTATTATTGTATATTTTTTTATTACTATATAGTTGTGGAGATATCGAATTTAATTTTATATTTTGCGTTATATAACATTTTTTTTTTGTTTACGAAATTTTTTTTTCTTCTAACTATTATTTTTTTTTTTAAATATTCATTTTCCCATATATCTTCTTTTTTTCGCTCATTTTTTGTTTTGCCTCAAACCTAGTTTTTTTCTCTATTTTTTTTTCTTTTGAAAAGTTTTTTTTTATTTCCTTTTTAATACTTCTTTTTGTTCTTAACTTTATTTAATAGTAGTCATTTAAAAACGATAAAATTTTAATTACAAAAAAAAATATTTGAAATTTTTTTAAATCATTTTTTTTTCCTTTTGGA